CTCACTGGGGGATTCTAGGCAGGGGCTCTACCACTGAGCCACGCCCCAGTCCCTCACTGGGGGATTCTAGACAGAGGCAAGGGGATCTACCACTAACCCACATCCTCACCTTGTTCCAAGTTTTAAATGCTCATTGTAGAAGTCATCTTACTTGTATATGTTTTAGAAGGTACCACAGAAAAATGAGAACTTTCTTGTGTGTGTGTGTGTGTGTATTTGTAACATGCATGTGAGTGATCTCTGACCCCAGAAGAATTCAGAACCCCTGAGGCTTGAGTTACAGGTGGTCTGCCTCCTGTCGTGACTGCTAGAAGCAAACTCAGCTCCTTTGCAAGAACAGTAGTTCTTAATCTGCCCAGCGTCATTGTTTTGTTTTGGTTTTTTTTTTGAGATAGTATCTCAGATAGCCCTAGCTGGCCTTGAACTCGATATGTAGCTGAGGATGGCCTTGAAACCCATGATTTCTCTGCTTCCACCTCCCAAGTCCTGGGATTTCAGGCAGCACTAGGCCCAGCTGAATTATGTATTATCCTTATAGCAAAAGCAGCTGGTGCTGCCTCCTCCTCCTCTACCCTACCCAGGGTCTGTAGCCCAGACTGGTGCTGAACTTGTGTGTGAGGATAACTTTGAACTCCTGGTTCCTTGGCTTTCACCACTCAAGTCCTGGAGTTGCAGGCATGCGTTATGACTCCCAGCAAGAATCTGAGTCTTCAGTTCGTAGCCAGGATGTGGCTGACCATGTGCCTGTGGGGCCAGTCAGTGCCCCCTCTGTTCTCTAGGAGCACATGGTCACTCTGCTGTAGAGGCGTGGCATGATTACAGAGTGCTTTAGGCCTTCCCACTGTGCCTTAGGGCCATCAGCTCAGACCTCTGAGTCACTCTGATCTTAAGACTCTTTTATCTAAAGATACTGAATCCCTCCAGGTCACGGCTTGGATCGGTCTGAAAAAGTCTATGCTACAGCTCTGTTGACAGTGTCAGCTGTGTCACTGTCTGTCCAGGGGCTGCGTCCCATCACCCTGAACCTTGATTTCTCCTGAGGTCTGGTTCTGTTTGTCTAGGATTCTAGGTTCTAGTCACTTTTCCCCCCTCAGACACAGAAATCTGAACCCTGAGTCTTTCTGTTTTTGGGGGGTGGGGGGTTTCAAGACAGGGTTTCTCTGTGTAGCCCTGGCTGTCCTGGAACTCAGAAATCCGCCTGTCTCTGCCTCCCAAGTGCTGGGATTAAAGGCGTGCGCCACGACTGCCCAGCAACCTGAGTCTTCCCTCAGACCTAGGGCTCCAGGCCCCAGCCCTTCTCTCTCAGACCCAGAGTCTAAGCCCAGTCCTCATTCCTCAGACCCATGGCCCAGCACCAGCCTTTCTCCCTCAGACCTAGGGTCCAGGTCGCAGCTGTTTTCCCTCAGTCTTCGTTGCCCCTTATCTGTCATAACCAGAATCATCCTGGGAATCCCTCTTCTCCACAGTGTGATCTCGGTGTCTTTTCTATCACCAGACCATAATCCTGACCGTGCCCTGCAAGCCCCTGCCCCTCCCCCTCCCCTTTGAGATCAACACTCACCATGCTCCCTCCTTCCTGTCATCTTTCCTTATTTCTTTTCCAGTCACACTTTCCAGGTTTGGCTCAGGCTTGCACCTTCATTGCTTAAAGTTTTGAACATGGAGATCTCCTCGTCTTTTCATGACTCCACATTAACCCCAACGATAACATTTGACCAAACCAAACATGAACTATACATACGACGGTCTCCACGCCACCCCCCACTACTGCATCAGATACTCCTGGTCTGTGGGTGTGGCTCAGTGGTAGAGCCCCTGCCTAGAATCCCCCAGTGAGGGGCTGGGGGCGTGGCTCAGTGGTAGAGCCCCTGCCTAGAATCCCCCAGTGAGGGGCTGGGGGCGTGGCTCAGTGGTAGAGCCCCTGCCTAGAATCCCCAGTGAGGGGCTGGGGGCGTGGCTCAGTGGTAGAGCCCCTGCCTAGAATCCCCCAGTGAGGGGCTGGGGGCGTGGCTCACAGTGCAGCACTAGTATATCATACATAGGATTCAATCTACTAGGCTGCAAAGCCTAAATGAATGAATGCTAACAACAGAGAACAGGGAAGGGATGGAGTCCATGCTGCAGGCTCCCGTGTCTCACAGTCCCCAGTTGAAACAGCTTTGTGCTCTTCTGGAGGGCAGGGCCTGAGGCTGGCCTACCTTAGCTCTCCATGTTTACACAGCATGACTGTGTTTTTATACTCACGCCTTCTTTTGTCCCTCCTTCTGTCCCTCTCTCCTCTCCACCCTCCTCCCTGGCCTCTTCTTCCTTCTTCTATTTGCTTCCTGCCTCCCTTCTTACGTCCCACCCTTTCTTCCTCTGTAAGGTCTGGCTCTGTGACCCAGGTTAGCCTTGAACTCGCCATTCTCCTGTCTTCACCTAGCATGTGCTGGGTTTATAGGCACCGTATCTGGCTGTCTCTTGTTTCTTATACTGTTTCCTTGGTCATTCCTCTGGCACAGGGCCATGAGCAGACCTGGGGTCTCGCTGTGAGGCGCAGACACCCCAGCAGGGCCCAAGTCCAGGTCCACAGCAGGCTTGTTTTCTCAGGAGCAGAGGCAGCTGAGCCAGGAGCGGGATCATGTTGAGAGTCTTCGCCAGCGACTTAGGGAAGCCCAAGGACAGCTTGATTCACAACCGGAGGACCAGAGAGAGCGGCTCTCACAAGGGGTACAAGAGGTCAGGGCTCTGGACCTGCTTAGAAATGGATTCCATGTCTGGCTTCCAGTAGGACCCAAAAGCCTTGACCCAGATCTCTTCCATTAGACCTAGGCGTCTAGGGCCCTCCTCCCTCAGACGTGAGGTTCTAGGCCCCAGCCCTCCTCCCTCAAATGTGAGGTTCTAGGCCACAGCCCTCCTCCCTCAGATGTGGGGCTCTAGGCCCCAGACTCCCCTCTCTCAGATGTGGGGTTCTAGGCCCCAGCCCTCCTCCCTTAGATGTGGGGCTCTAGGCCCCAGACTCCCCTCTCTCAGATGTGGGGTTCTAGGCCCCGGCCTTCCTCTTTCAGATGTGAGGTGGTTCTAGGCTCTAGCCCTCATCCCTCAGATGTGGGGATATAGGCCACAGTCCTCCTTCTTCAGATGTGAGGTTCTAGGCCCCAGCCCCCTCCCTTAGATGTGAGGTTCTAGGCCCCAGCCCCCTCCTTCAGATGTGAAGTTCTAGGCCTCAGCCCCCTCCTTCAGATGTGAGGTTCTAGGCTCTAGCCCTCATCCCTCAGATGTGAGGTTTTAGGCTCCAGCCCTCCTCCCTCAGATGTGGGTATCTAGGCCACAGTCCTCTTCCCTCAGATGAGCGGTTCTGGGTCCCAGCCCTCCTCCCTTGGGTCTATGAGTCCAGGCCCCAGCCCTCAGATCTAGGGGCCTAGGTCAAGCCCACCAGCTCACTCCTTCCTCAGGTTTAGGGATCCTGTCTCCAGTCCCTTGTGCCCCCACCCTCAGATCAGAGAGCAGCTGGATGCAGCCCAGCGTACCTATGAGGATCTGGAGTTCCAGCAGCTGGAGCGCGAGAGTCGTGTGGAGGAGGAACGGGGCAGCCCTGAGGTCCCAGCTCTGGACTCCAAGGTCCGGGAGCTTCAGGCCAGCGTGGCCCAACACAAGGTGAGTTCCCCAGAGCAGCCCTGCCTCCTTCTTCATCCCTCCCTTCCCCCCATTTCCATGATGGTTCTGGGACATTCACTCTGGTCAGACACGGAGATCACCATCCAGGAGCCACTGACTCCTTACAGCAGGATCTGAGGTGGATCCTGTTGCTTTTTTTTATACTCTACCTGAAGATGGTGAAGACCACGTTATCTTTCCCACTTCGTTCTTAAGGTGCTGGGTTGTTTTTTTTTTTTAACTTTTAAATTCATTTATTTATATATGTGCTAGAGCGTGCGTGCCTCCGTATTCACGGACGTCTGAGAGTAGGAGTCAATTCTCTCCTTCCACCATATTCCCTGGGATTGAACTCATGTCGTGAGGTTTGGCTGCAAGCAGCTTTACCTTCTTGCTGGCCCCAGCCACTCATTCATTCTGTCAGTTTTATGGTCAGAGTTTGGCCTTGTCCTGCGGGGACACGCTTAGCATACAGCTCAGCGTCCCACCCGTCTGTGGCTACAGAGTTCCTTCTGGGGTCTCCTCCCACACCTCTTCCGGCAGACTGTTGTCCTTTCTCTTTTCCTTCCACTGGTTTCTGTCTGCATGGGGCCCAGGCTGCCTGGAACCAGCTGTGTAGCTGAGGATGACTTTTAAACTTGTAATCCTCCTGCCTCAGCCTTCAGAGTGCTGGGTTTGCAGATGTGCTCCACCACATCTGGTTTATGCTGAGGGTGGAACCCAAGACTCCGAGCCTCCCAGGCAAGCACTCTGCCAACTGTGCCACATCCCCAGTCCCTTTTGATTTTGAGATAGGGACTCTGTAACCAAGGCTGGCCTAGGACTTACTATGTAGCCCAGGCTAGCCTTGTATCTGATGCAATTCTGCCTCAGGCTCCTGGGTGTTGTAATTACAGGTATGGCTCCCCTTTCTCTGTTCTTTAAGATACTACTATTTATTATTATTATTATTGGGTTTTTTGTTTGGTTTGTTTTTTGTTTGTTTGTTTGTTTGTTTGTTTTGAGACAGCATTTCTCTTTGTAGCCTTGGCTATCCTGGGCTCACTTTGTAGACCAGGCTGGCTTCAGATCTGCCTGCCTCTGCCTCCCACATGCTGGAACCAAAGTCATGTGCCATTCCTGGCTTAAGGTTTATTTTTATTTATTTACTTTAAGTATGTGTGACGAGGCTGTATGCAAGTGTGTGTGTGAGTGCGTGTGTGCTTGTGTGTGTTCACAAGAGTGTG